TGGCAGTTTTTCAGGGTGGTGTGGCAATTACTGTGCTTCTGAACTTCTTAACAGGAAACATTTGCGAATTTTACAAATGAGTCATGATATCATGTTCCAGAAAAGTCAGGTCGATGTTACAAGATGGTGAGGATGCCATCCAAGCCCCGTCCCCGAAGGTGTTCATTGGCCATCCGTCGGCCCCCATGGACCGCGTTCTCTTCTACCGCGTCACGAGTCAAGACATACCTCTTCCTCGCCTCCGGATTGATGACCATGCGCTCGAGCGCCGTGGCGGTTCGAGCATAATGCAGTGCCAGAACAAAGAAGTTGTTGTAGCCATAGACTCCCGTCATCAGTAACGTCTTCAGACGATAATGCAGCTCACGGGCCGGGGGCAACTCCTCTATCCGCTTCAACGTCTCCCATGTTCCGACTGGGCATAGCAGCTGCATTATCAAAGCATTAAACAAAACAAACGCAACGATTAATCTCTTATTATCTACTACCCCTACTAGTATAACGCCCGTGCGTTGCCACGGGCTCTTCAAAATTTATAATCAGTATCTTTCATTTATCATCCCCTCATATTGGGTGATTATGAGGTGCTCTAATTAGAAACACAACAATCAAATATTAGGAAATTTCACCGAACGAACAACAACGAATAATACGATATCTATCAAACGAATAAAATGAGGTCATATTTTTGGTCCGTCATGCACTTCTGTTGAAAAGTGCCTATCCCTTTTAGAATCAACCCACTGTTTGCTCGCACGCAAAAAAAATACATCTCTAAAGTGGGGAACCGATCGGTGCTAAAAAGAACTCAAACTCCTATCCGATCTCGAGTTCGTGCTCTTCCACTTCCATTGATAAAGATGGGACGTCAAGGGTTTCATCATGATGACCTCGAGCAGCCGCCGACATCCCTCCCCACATCTACCCCTACCCCCTGCCGCCGCTTGCACTGTCCTTGCTCCTCGAGGGAGCTAGGGACACAATGTTCTCTAGGATGGGCATGACCAGATCCACGAGGAGGCCACATTCTTCCATGGGAACCCAACCAAGCACACCACCCTCCGCAACCATCCAATCCCAGCCTAACAAAGTCAAGACCCGCCATCGATCCACAAATCAGGCTCGCCGCATCCAGGTTCACTGCAAGTCTGCGACGAGTCTGTAGTCGACATCTTGACTTTGGCTATCCCCACGGAAGAATCATCGGATCCTGCTTACTTTTACCATCACTTTGTCTCTTCCCAAGGCAGCGACACCACCCAGCCAATCACCACCACCGCTTGCGGCTTGCCTACATAAAATCATATGAGAAATCCCCACGGCGGTGCTGTAAGATCACCTTGGCGACCTCGACAGTGACCGACTGGTCTAAGATCTAAGCTAGCCGCTCTTTGTAGAAACCAATAGAAGTAGGCATGTGACTCAGATTTGTTCTTTGGTGTGCATGCGTTTCTTGCTGCCCACCAGCTCTTGTCTACAACTCGCCTATATCTGTACCAACTCTTGGTCTACAACTCGCCTATCTCCATGCTCGAGAATCTGGAGTGTAGTAGTTAAAAAAAGACCAACTTTATACTCATTTGATAATTCAACGTGCATGTGCATGCACCGGATGGAATTCACGCTCTATGTAAAATCTGGAGTGTAATGACCGTGGTTGATGAATGAAAGTCTTATTTCCGCAAAAAAAGAAGTTAAAGGTGAATATATTCCTCATGTGTAGAGTACAAACAGAGCATATAGTGGTGACCTAGTTTCTTTTGATTGAGGTGAATACATGCCAGTACTAAAATCTTCTAATTGCTTTTGATTGAATCCAAGTTGTCTCTTTTCTTTCAATTCAGCAAAGCTAGTTCGAATAAATAGGATTGTCTATATCTTAACTCCTTTGCCAATTAAGCTTCAAAATTGCAGTCTGATTCAGAAACAATCGAACGATTCTGTCGTTAACTCCAGGAGATTCTCGTTAGATCTTAGGAACGCTGCAAGCCTTCATATCATATAAGAATAAGATCGACAATTGATATGGACAGATCTTACTACAATCATATTACTACTACTCGCACACTGATATGGACAGATCATACAAGATCGAAGGTACGTAAGACAAGGTCCTCTAGATTACGAAAAACTGTTTGCTTCGCCTCATGTGAGACGGACCCCGAGCTATTCTTCAATGGCGCACCGCGCGCACATATTTGGCGGCGAAGTAACTCGTTATCCTAAGGACGTCCCCGTCAAGCCCGTCGACAGCGTCACCCTTTTCCATCTCCCCGGTTGGACCTCGCCGAGTTTCCACCGTCGACGGCCTGCCGCCGCCGCATTCTGCTGCACGAAGGAGATCAACTACGGTTTAGACGTGCACGGGTGCAGCAGAGCAGATCGACCGATGGATCGGTTGACAACACGTACCGTCGCAGGCCGCGTGGCCGTGGTGGGGGGCGGCGGCGCTCGAGGTGCCCTGCGCCTCGCATTCGCAGGGCGAGACGGCGCTCGTGGCGCTGGTGCCGATCTCCTCCTCCGGACGAACGAGGAGCCAGCCGTCCAAGCTGGGTGAGGGAGCCAACGGCGGCCTGCAGCGCTGCCGGCTCGACTCCTTGCAGTTGTGTTTTGATTTTCGCACTACTAGAAAAACCTCTACTAATGGCGCACCTATTATGGCCATTAATGGCGCATCTGTGGTGCGCCACTAACAACACGCCATTAGTAATTTTTACTAATGGCACCATTAGTATAGGCCACGGTGCGCCATTAGTATGCCTCCCAGGGGCCAGGTGCTTTGGATACTAATGGCGCACCACAACTAGATGCGCCATTAGTAACCGCGGCATATTGATGGCGCACTTTCCTGTGATGCGCCATTAGTGATGCGTCATTTAGAATCTAGATCTGGATCGTGATTTTTTGCCCATTTTTTTGCTCGTTTTTTTTTGCTTGTTTTTTGGCACGACAATATTCTCAAATTTTGTTCCTGTTGTTTTTGGATCTTGTTGCCATGGTCTTTTGCCGGAGAGGAGTTCGCCGGAGAGGAGGAGGAGGAGCTCACCGGAGAGGAGGGAGGAGGAGCTCACCGGAGAGGAGGGAGGAGGAGCTCACCGGAGAGGAG